CACATGCATCCTTCTAAGGCAACCTTATCTTTTGCTCTCACGTAGAGTACTACGTACCCCTTGTACAACATCTCTATATATATCAAAACCTAAAATACATTAATTGTCTCAAACAAAAAATTAAAAAAAAAAATATCTATATATACTTTTGTGTTATTCCCCAAGAAACAAAAAAACCTTTCTATAAATCAATAAAAGAAGCCAGATAAAGCATCCAATCGATCGAGAGAGAGCGAGCGAGAGAAAGAGTATGGGAAAAACGAGAACAAAAGGAAACAAAAAGAATGGCCGCGGCATTGTGAAAATCAAGGAAAAACTACAAAGGAGCCTAATCTCGGGCCTCAAACTTTTCACGGACGAGTGTGATAATCAAGAGATTAGGGTGCCCGATGACGTGAAGGAAGGGCATTTTGCGGTGATTGCAGAGGACAACCACGAACTGAGGCGGTTCGTGGTGCCCCTGAGCTTCCTCACCCACCCGTCTTTCGTGAGGCTATTGGAACAAGCCGCGGAAGAATATGGCTTCGACCGTGGCGGTGCCCTCACGGTTCCTTGTAAGCCAGTCGAGCTCGAGCACATACTCTCCGAGAGGTGGGTCGAGGAGGAAGTTGGGTTCGATGGTGATGATAATAATACTAATAATAAGTGGAGCTTATGCAACAAAGCCAAGATGGTGAAGAGCCACTAGATATATAGTAATTTTTTGCTTTTGTTTCGATCGTTTTGTTTGATTTATTGAATACGATATGATATTAATAATCAATGCTATACGTTTACGTTTATCATCCATTGTTTCAAGTCGAATTCATGTTATTTGAATTGGTAATAAAACGAGGTTAAGTATATATATCTAATGTGTTTATCATAGTTCAATATTTATTAGAAGAATGATGAGTAATGTCCTAAAACTCCTTATATATGAATAGTGATGTACTTTAAGAAAATCTATTTTAGTTAAAACTGTGCAACACATTGAAAAAAAACATAGGATTCTCACATTCATAAATATAAGACCAATTACTACATATGTTTCAATGGACGTTGTGCACTACATTTTCAAAGCGTCCATAAAAACAATGCACTGTACTGATTCGTAAATTCTATTGTATCAAATTGGAACTTTAACTTTTCGATTTATGCGTGTCGTCCTTGCAAAATCTTCTCTGCATCGTTCCAATATTTATTTGATGTCCCTCATGAAGGGAAAAATTAGAGCTTAACTTACCTCGAACATAATTAACTTCTTAAACTTGTATCCGCAATCAAAAGATAAACATAGTCCATAAAATATAGCTACAGTACTAAATCTAAAACACAAGATAAAATAGTTGAATGCGAGTAATTTATATAATTTCTCGCAATATGTATTATACGTATGGAAATTAAATTGTAAATCAATGGTTTCGCTACGCTAAAAAAAAGTCATATTTTAATGAACAAGTCACGATAATATATGCTTCCATTGAAAAAAATCCGTTATAAAACTCAATTAATGTGCTATTTTCGTTAGAATTTTTGTTTCCGCTCATGTTTCAATCGTTGGAATCGTTAAAATTCAACGAGAATTTAATGAAAAACGTATTCGACAGAATATTTTCAGTGGAATTTTGTTTAAATTCATTAGAAAATTCCAACGAACAATAATACGTTAAAGTTTTTGTTGAAATTGTCTCTGTAATTTCACTAGAATATATTTATGTTGGAATTTTTTAATAAACTCGGAATACAAAGATCAAATCATTGAAGATGAAGAACAGAGATGAAGAACAAACGAAAGAGAGAGAAATATTATTGAGAGAATATGGAACGATCTGAAAATGTGTAAAATGAGAATTAGGGTTTGTTGTTGTACACAACACCCTATTTATACTAAAGCTCCTGCAACTAAAGTTATCAAACACAAATGACAACTTATCCTTATTACAAATAATAAAAGGCTGAAATAGTAAAATTACAACTAAGATACATGTATATTATCACCCTCCCCCCCAGGGGCGAAACTACATTGGGGGTCGGAGAGGCGCCGGCCCCTCCAAAAAAAAATTTTTTTGAACTAGGGGTGGGGGGTTTTGCCGGAACTGGAAGGGCGCCCTTTGAGCGCCCTTCCGACGCCGGAGTGGGGGTGGTACGCCGCGGAATGGCCGGAAGGGCGCCACCAGATTTAGCAACGAAGCTCTTCTCAGCTCATTCATGGCGAATGGTGATGGCGTGTTGGCGTGATGGAGAAGAAGAACAAACACCTCCCTTGAAATTACCTTCATACCCTTAAGCTTCTTTTGTAAATTGGGCCAATTATGTGTATTGGGCTGCTGCTATTAGTTTATTCTGTGCCTTGTAATTGAGCTATTTCCGCAGCCCAATAAAATTGGATTCAAATGCCCATGTGGTTCGCACACCGTCATTGACCGATTTTTATCGTTTTCGACTCCGATAATTAATTCAACTCTGTTTCCTGTTAAAATTCAAAATAACATACTTCATCATAGTTTAATAAAAATAATTAAATAATTATATATTTTTAATAATTAATTAAATAATAATAAATTATATATCAAACTACTACAAAACGGACATGAAAATCACTCTAAAATGCATGTATATATGACGCATGTCAACTTTTCAACACTAAAAAGACAAAAACACAAAATGAGATAAAAAAAATACACAAAACACGATAAAATGAACTGGTCGACGCTAAAATGAACCTAAAAATACACGACCAAGGCACGAAAAATAAATGAAAAATACCACAAAACACAACAAACATTGTGGGATTTTGAATTTATATATAAAATATATAATTAAAATTAATTTGATGTTAAAGTAGGAGAGATGTGATGTGAAGTGAT